ACAACAAGGAGTCTGGTGGCACCTTAAAGACTAACAGATTTATTTGGGCATAAGCTTTCAGGGTTTTTACCCACGAAAGCTTATGCCCAATAAATCTGTTAGTCTTTAAGGTGCCACCAGACTCCTTGTTGTTTTTGTAGATACAGACTAACACGGCTACCCCCTGATACTTAGTATTACTAGCGTCACATGACAACTCCCCGGGGTTGGATTCAGCTGAAGCTGTTGCCTGTTTCTTCTGTTCAGAGTTCCTTGACCATGCAAGACCTCTGGGTGCAGCTATGTCCACTAAGTTGTTCAATATTACCAAAACAGAGTCTTCTTCATGAAGCTGAGGATGCCATTCCAATAAAGTAGAAAGCGTTTTTAGACCTTTTAAATTTGTAGTCACTCAGTAGTCCTTTAGAAGGATCATTCAGGGTGAAAATGTACTTCTAAGTTCAGCAGGGTTCTGATCTGTTGACTCATTAACAGGTGAGTTAGGATTACGCCAAGGTCTGTGTGAGGGGTTGCCTTATAGCTCAGCAAAGCTAGTATGAAGTCTTTTGATAGTAGAATTCTCTCAGCAACCTGCACTGCTCTCTCCACCAGTTCATTCCCTTGTGTACAGTGAGGGCTTAAAATTAACGTATGTGAAATTGTACCTATCATAAAAGTTTGGAAATCAGCACTGGGAAACTGTGGCTCAGTGTGAGTGGCAATTGGTTCTGAAATGCCAGAAAAAGACGAAAGTTAAAAGATATCTTCTTTTGACCTGTTGTCATATGGGTTAAATGAGAAGTAGAATTTCTGCCAAGAAAATTAGTCAAGGGATACCATGTAGGTATGATCCTTGTTAGGCAGGTCTAGTGCTATTTACTCCACCCATCCAAGACCTAATGGGTAGTATCCTGTGGATATGAGAGATTTTTTAAGTTGTGTCTATTACTCAAGCATCCATGATTCCACCTTGTATTCTAGGTCCTGCCCTATGGTGGACCACCACTCTGACATTTGGGCTCACTCCCATCATATTGTGAGACCTTCTTTTCCCAACATGTATCATTTCCAATATGTTAACCTGCAAAGACTGAGCGACTATGACATAATTGCCACAGGTAATTGGATTTTGAGCTTTGGTGATTTCCCCTCTCCTTGTAACAGTCACATGTTGGATGTGGGACTCCTGATAATTAATCAGGCCGCCTATCTTGGATTCCTTTTGCTGCTGTGTGTTAACACTTGTGGCTATTTCAGTTTGTTTGAATTTGTGCGGACGGTGTAGCAAAGAAATGCCACTCAAAAATTACACCCACATAATCATCTTCAGCTACTGGAAAATTTTGGTGGCCAACAGGACTTCTCAATAAGGTGTCATCCAGCTCAAAGGATTTCCCTGGCACATATTTTGCAATAGGTTAATATCTCAAATGCATGAACATTCCCTGCCATCTAATGGGAACCTTATCTAGATTTTTACTGTTTGTGACTGGCATGAGTGGCTTGAGGAATCACTAACTCAACATTTTCAAGACCTAGCACATATCCTGTGAACGTCTCACATTCACATATGCTCAAATATCTGCTATTTTATTTTAGTCTAGCAGCATCACTTGCCTTCAGACCTTGTTTTTCCTTACGTTATGTTCTTCCACTGACTGGCCATAAACTAAACTGTCACCCACAAAACTCTGCACTCCCTCCAGGCTCCACAGAATCTTGATTTCCTCCCTCCCTTTAAAAGATTTCTGGGGTGCCAGTGATGCATAATGCAAAACAAAAGTAATATCTTCTGAATGGCTTTATAAAAGTTGTCAGCTTGGTATTGCCAGCGACAAGTGAAACTAGCCAAAATCCACTATTTGGATCTAGTGCAGAGAATATTTATGCAGATTCAGAAAGAACTCAAACATTTGACACTATTTCATTGGACAATAGTTTAAAAAAATCAAGAGTCACTTTCCTCTAACAGTGAATAAGGAACTTTATTGGAATAAGGGAAATCAGTATTGTCCCTTGTCCCTAAAGCTACTCTGTGATTCTTTCTCTGTCTCTTCACAGGGCTTCCGCCTAGAATCATCCCTAGCCCCCCAGTGCCCCTGGCTTCCTTCCACAAATTTAAAGAAACACTACATATATCCTTACATATCTGCTATGCAAAATCTAACAACTGAATAAGGAATTAAAGATCTGATTGCATTCTGAAGCAGTCTCTTTGTTCTGGTATTTATCAGGATATCAGCAGACTCCCAGATGTGCATGTAGCACTACAGCTCAGTAACCTGCTATATGTAGTTCTCTAGTATTTCCATAATACAACTGTATTTCATATTTGGGAATTGCATGTAGACGTGATAATCACATTTGTATTCAAGAAAGTGAATACTGTAATTATAGTCCCCAGTATGGGTGCCTATCCAACTTCCCATATTTAATATTTCCTCAGACAAAAACCCAAATACAGACAGATTCACATATAGAGTAGGAACAATCTGCTAATCACTTTAAGCTGCATACAAACATTATGCACCAAATGGTTAGTGATAGTGCTGTGAACAGTTCTGTATTATTCCCAATTACATATGGCCAAATTCTGCCCTAAGGCTTCTCATGTGCATGCAATAGAGGTTCATTGCCTGGAGTCAGTGGGAACATTTCACATGGGTCCAAGTAAAATCTGCCCATTATTTAGCTGTAACTGAAAAAATTAATCTTGGAAAACTCAGCACAAATTTTGTAGAATGAAATGGAGTATCCCACACCACTCTAATTGTAATAGACATCAGCATGTTAGCTTTACATCCCAAAGCATGTTTACAATTGCAGAGTATTAGCACTCTGGCCTTCTGACCTGTCTGGAGTTCGCCTCTTCCCGTTTTCGTTCACATCGAGAAGCAGCTCTGAGGAGTCAACAGGTGAGGTGGTGCTGGCATCCAGAAGCAGCTGTTCATGCTGAGCGAGGTACTGGGCGGGATTCTGCTTGGCCAGCCTTGCACAGTGCAGGAGCTCCCGCTGCAGCAGGGGCAGATTGGCCTGTAAGAGTGTTTCAGAAATTAAGGGAGCAGCTGAACGACTCTCATGCAGTTTCACAAAGATGAAGTAGCAAAATTAGAAATCAATTAAAAGCCCACTATTTCGTTCATCTTGACTTATATTTATTTTAGTTAGCCGTGTTAAACCATATAGCCTCATTAGAGGTTTGAGTCATGGCTGAAATACACGTGTGTGCACACATGAGAGTGGAAGAGTTTATTTGCTGAACCATAAAACAAAACTGAAAATGCTACAAGAAAAACAAACAAACGAAAAAAAACAATCTTCAGGTCCAAATCTTTAAAGGGTGGCAAGAGCACAGCACTAGCTCACTTTATTTCCTTTCTTGTTATTATACAATATTTGTGTTTCTCTACAGCTGCTGTCTTTACGTGCAAAACAACTCCCCTATGTAAATTTAGTATTCAGATTGCAAAGTACTAACTTTCATTTTTTCTTGACTTAAGGATCAACACCCAATTCTAACTCGGCACATGTTTATGCATTAGCTACAGTATTTAGTTATGTTATCACATACTACAGAAGTTATCAAATACTACATATTTTTTTCTACACTCTCAAATACACATACAATCTTAAAACATGTGAACAGATTATTAAAGATTTTAGAGTAATGCAAGTGTGCAATGAGACAAAGTTACATGTATGTTGTTGAACCTAACTTTTTTGTGACTTTTAAACAATTAACTACTGCTATAAAAGTCCATTTTTTAAATGGATAAGTATTTTTAAATCATAGAATCATAGGACTGGAAGGGACCTCGAGAGATCATTTAGTCCAGTCCCCTGCACTCATGGCAGGACTAAGTATTATCTAGACCATCCCTGACAGGTGTTTGTCTAATCTGCTCTTAAAAATCTCCAGTGATGGAGATTCCACAATCTCCATAGGCAATTTATTCCAGTGCTTAACCACCCTGACAGTTAAGAAGTTTTTCCTAATGTCCAACCTAAACCTCCCTTGCTGTAATTTAAGCCCACTGCTTCTTGTCCTGTGCTCAGCGTTTAAGAAGAACAACTTTTCTCCCTCTTCCTTATAACAACCTTTTATGTACTTGAAAACTGATATCATGGCTCCTCTCAGTCTTCTCTTTTCCAGACTAAACAAACCCAATTTTTTCAATCTTCCCTCAGAGGTCATGTTTTCTAGACCTTTAATCATTTTTGTTGCTCTTCTCTGGACTTTCTCCAATTTGTCCACATCTTTCTGGAAATGTGGTGCCCAGAATTGGGAGGCCTAATCAGTGCAGAGTAGAGCGGAAGAATTACTTCTCATGTCTTGCTTACAACACTCCTGCTAATACATCCCAGAATGATGTTCACTTTTTTTGCAACCGTGTTACACTGTTGACTCATATTTATCTTGTGATCCACTATGACCCCAAGATCCCTTTCCACAGTACTCCTTCCTAGGCAGTCATTTCCCATTTTGTATGTGTGCAACTGATTGTTCCTTCCTAAGTGGAGTACTTTGCGTTTGTCCTTATTGAATATCATCTTATTTACTTCAGACCATTTCTCCAGTTTGTCCAGATTATTTTGAATTATAATCCTATCCTCCAAAGCACTTGAAACCTCTCCCAGCTTGGTATCATCCACAAACTCAAAATGGCTGAGAAGGATTTGCTCCATCTTTAAAAAGAAATTAACCTTTTGAGATAGACCAAGCATGGAACACTTCAGCCCAAAATGTTTTGAAAAGTTTCAAACACATGAGAAAGAGGTTATAAGAGAAAATGCTTTGCCACCTTAGTTAAAATCATATGACACCAGGCACCAATTATCATATCCTGGTGATCAAAAGATGTACCACGTACCAAACAAATAGGTATGGACCATCATCACTATTCTTGCTACAGCCTTTCTGTATTTAAAAAAAGATAACATTCTTCTCAGGGACTAAGGGTGCATCTATACAGCAAGAAGAACCAAAAACCAAAAGCGGCAGTAAGTCTCAGAGCTCGGGTCAGCTGACTCGGGCATGTAGGCTTGGGCTATGGAGCTAAGAACAGCAGTGTAGACATTCGAGCTCAGGCTGGAGCCTGGGCTCTGAGAACTTTCCAACCTGGCAGGCTACTCTGCTATTTTTAGCCCTGCAGCAGGAGCCTGAGTCAGTTGACCCAGGCTCTGAGACTCGCTGGTGCGGGTTAATTTTTTGCTGTAGACATATACTTAGAAGCATAATTTGCTATTGGAAATAAACAGCCAGTGCTACCACTTAGTCTACAGGCCCTCAAGAGAGTTAGAAAGACATTGCTGTAGAACTTTAGGACTCTAAAAGTTCATAGAACCTTTTCAACATTGTATTTTGTGAAAGTGAACAAAACATTAGCCTATCTATATTCACTATTAATAAGATGCCTACTATCTAATAGATATCATTCCAATTTTGCTGGCAGTGGCAACCACCACAACTGGGATAGGGGGGAGAAGGGGCTTTAAGAGCTCTTCACACATCAGAATAAAATTGGTCCAGCTAGCTGCCTGACTTGATGGAGGGACGTAGTGAAACTAACAATGCAAAGAGAATTATACATATATAAAATTCTGAGAAATTGTAGGGTCAGAACCTGGATTACAATACTGCCATACAATTATATAGTGCTTTTTCATCTTCAGTACTGTATGAACTTAAATTAACCCCCAAAACACCCATCTGAGGTAGGAATGTAGCAACATACCCATTTCACAGATGAGAAAAGTGGAGAACAGATTCATATGATTTATTCAGGGCCACAGACAGCGAGAGTCAGTATTAGTACTCATACATTCCTGGCTCCTAGCTCCCTGCTTAGACCTTACAGGTAGGTGCCAACTTTTTTAACTAGGTTATTCTGTGGGATCAACAAAGCTGCCAGTTAATATAGTAGTGTGCTCAGATACTATGGTAACAGGTGAACCTATAAAGCCATAAGATGCAGAAACGAAGTCATGGTCCAATGTATCACAAATTACACTAACAAAAAAATCACTGAGCTTTACGTAAAGAAATAAAAGTACTGAGTGGACTTGTCTAAAAAAATCATTGCTGTGAATTTTTCATTTACAATTTTGTTTTGTTGCTTTTTGCTTTGTTTCCCAAACCTCAGTGAAGTCTCATCTGATCTTAAATGCTCCAAGAAGATTTAAAAATTTTATTAAAGTTAATGTTTAAAATTAAATATACACAAGTTAAGAGAGAAGGTACTGTACATCTGGGGTCAGGCTTGAGTTATGAGGGATTACAGGTATCGCTTACAAGGATCACAAGATACATACATATCACATAACCAGCATAGACCCAGATTGGGGTGCGGGAGTTTTTAAAGCATCAGTGGATAAGTGGGCTCGGGTATGCCACCCATGGAATGTATTAAGAGTCCAAGTCAGTATCAGTGTGGTGAATAAGTACATAGGTGGGGTGCGTCCCTTGGTTCATCAGGGAAGGAAGTGGATTGTCTATTTTCAGACCAAATAATCTGTCACCCAGATATGGAACACTAATATTAAGGTAATGTTATCACTTAATTTATTATGAAGGAGGCTTTTTAATGTAAGTGGGTACAAATAGGTATAAACTGGACATGAATAAATTCAAGTTGGAAACTAGAAAAAGGTTCTAACAGCCAAAGGAGTGAGGTTCTGCAACAACCTTCCAATAGGAGTAGGGGGGAGGGGAAACGGCAACCTAACTAGTTTTAAGAAGGTGCTTGATCCATTTATCATGGGGTTGCCTGTGATAGCAGGGGATTGGACTCAACATCCCAGGTAGGGTGACCACCCATCTCTAATTGGGTAGAACAGTCCCAAAATGTACATTTCAAGTCCTGGTCCCAGGCTGAATGACTCCAGGACAGCATTTGTCCTGGATTCCCTGTGGCGCCGCTCTATGCCTGACTCAGGTAGGGTTGAGGTGGGACCTAAGTCCCCCTTGCCACGAGGCCCCTCCCCCTGCTCCTCCTCTTTCCCCAAAATATGAGCCAGGCAGTAGTAAGAGCCGACAAGGGAGCTTGGGCCACTGTGGGGAGCCTCAGAGTCTCAAACCTTCCACCTGCCCTGGACGGCGTGCACCAGAGGAGGGGGCACGGGCTGGGAGCTGTTCTTGGGCACTCCACCCAGGGCAGGTGGAGGGTCCGGGGCTCCCCAAAGTAGTCTGGCTCCCTGGACAGCTTTTACCACTGCCCAGCTCTGGCTTCCAACCTGGCGAAGGGACAGGGCCTCAGGTGGAAGAGTAGGGGCAGGGCCACGGCAGAGGGTGGGGCTCCTGCAAGTGTCCTGTTTTTGGATTTTGAAAAGGTGGTTACCCTAGTCCCATGAGGTTCCTTCCAGTCCCAAATACATTTTTAAGTGGGCATCTTTCTATCTCCTGTGAAATCAAAGAATGATCCCACTGCAGGTTTGTGCCAGAAGGTGCACACTGTCCTTATCTTCCTTTCCAGAAGAGCTGGAAGATAAACATATGAATCTACTACCATTTATTATTTGTATTCAAGTAGCATCTAGATGCCCCAGTTGAGAACAGGGCCCAATTGTGCTAAACACTCTACAAACTCTTAGTAAGAGACACTCTCTGCTCTAGAACGTACAGTCTAGACAGACAAAGGGTGGGAAATGGCA